ATATAAATTTTTTCTGTAAAATTCCGGATAGCAAATTTAGTTGATTTTGATATTAAATACCTTCTAATAAATTATTTTTAAGATATATGAAGAAAAATGAATCAAAACTTTACGATTAATTAGATAGACAGACTGCTGCCATTTATTTTTCAGTAATTTTAGAATGAAATTTCCAAAAATGCAATGAAAACTACCTAAATACAATACTTATTTAAATTCAAATGCCATAAAAAAATTTTATGTCTTTTCTGTGAAATTCCGGATAGCAAATTTAGTTGATTTTGATATTAGATACCCTCTAATAAATTATTTTTAAGATATATGAAGAAAAATAAATCAAAACTTTACGATAAATTGGATGGACAGACTGTTGCCATTTATTTTTCCGTAATTTTAGAATCAAATTTCCAAAAATGTAATGAAAACTACCTAAATACAATACTTATTTAAATTCAAATGCCATATAAATTTTTCTGCAAAATTCCGGATAGCATATTTAGTTGATTTTGATATTAAATACCTTCTAATAAATTATTTTTAAGATATATAAAGAAAAATAAATCAAAACTTTACGATTAATTGGATGGACAGACTGCTGCCATTTATTTTTCCGTAATATTAGAATGAAATTTCCAAAAATGTAATGAAAACTTCCTAAATACAATATTTATTTAAATTCAAATGCCATAAAAAAAATTTTATGTCTTTTCTGTAAAATTCTGCATAGCAAATTTAGTTGATTCTGATATTAAATACCTTCTAATAAATTATTATTAAGATATATGAAGAAAAATAAATCAAATCAGTGGAGTCATGTGATTGCACATCGCTTAATTTGCTCACAAATTGAAATCATCAGAATAAATCAGAACGTTTGTATGTGTTAATAAACCTCACTCTTTTACGTATAAATTGTTTCACGGTCAACTGTTTTCATAATACCATACTTTAAAATGTTGTTTTCTCATTTATGCTGTCTGTCATGCTCTATATGATTTTGCTTTCAGAGTTTAATTTTCTTTGATAAGGGAGTAATTGAAAGAATATGATATGCCAGATTCAGGTAGCAACTTTTAACTACAAACACTGCGATTTTGCACTTCAATAAAAAATGTTTGGTTTATATTTCTAAGCTAATATGTCTTACTTGTTTTGAAAGAATTTATTAATAATATATAATTTTGAATTATTATTTTGTAAGAACTTTTTGTGATGTAAAATCATTATTTAATAGTAGGGTTTATAGTTGTACCTTTGCCGATAAAAAACGTATGATCAAAACTACTTGAATATGGTCAATTTTACCGCGTTTCTGGCTCTATGTAAACACCAAAAAGAATGGTAATTTTTAATGAAGTGCTTTGGCAATGATTTTGGTATATTTAACAATTAAATATAGTTTTATAATCTGTGATGAAATTTGGTAAATCTGATGAAAATTTTATTATATGGTAATTTTATTATGATACCTTAGAGCTCGGTATTAAAACCGTTTATTTGGTTAAATTTACTTTTAAGGTTTGTAATTTTCGCTGAATGTATGTATTGTTAATTATAATTTCGAGAACCTGAATTTCTGGTAAAAGGCTACCACATGAAAGGAAAGATCACGAAATGATTTATTTAAATACGATATATGTATTTCAAATTTTAGTAATTTCACCACACACTTCGAACGAGTGTTGATACAATGTATTTTAGAGACCAAAATACCTTGGAGCAAGTTTACTTTCAAAATTATAATTATTTTTTTTTTGCATAAAAAAATAAGTTAAGGAAGTTAAAGTTACTACAACACTTTCTTATATTTTCTTTTGAAGTACATATCGTAAGTATAATGTGATGCATTATGATTCAAATTAGTTAAAAATAGGAATAGGAGCTATATAAGTATAAAAGTATTCGTATAATTTTGATTTGTAGTTTTAAATTCATTAGAATGATGCGGACTAATGTATATACATTATAAAATACAAGATCGATCTATGGCATATGACATTATTCTTTTATTTATAAATCAGAAATTATAAACTTGTAAGACAGGACAGCACGTCCATATCCATATAATGTTCCAATTATTGGTGACGAGGATAAATTATAATATTGTAAGGATAATATTAAATTTTTTTATTAAAATATTAGTAAATTTTAGTATTGTGAGGATAAATGTTATTTTATTATTGAATTAAATTATTTTATTGTAGAATAAAAATACAGCAATTTTAGCGCTATTAGTTAAATAATGTGCTTGAAATCACTATTAATAATAATTAATATACTACTTGTTTATATTTCTCGCAAAAAGGTACTTTTTCTAGATAAACACATATTTATTTTCTCGGATTAAAATTTTCCACTTTCTTAACATAAGCAGCTATCTGGACCGCATTTGTGGTTGGAATGGTTCATTAGACCAGATTAGTCCATTAGTCCAGAATAGTCCATTAGTCCAGAATAGTCCATTAGACCGGAATGGTCCATTTAATGTCCGAATCTAGAGAATGGTTGAAAGTTATAAGGTTCCATAATGGGAATTATACTTTTTGCACATTTCGCCTTCTCAAATAATTCGTATTTTTAATTTTTTTTCTCCAATACCCTTCGTTGAATTTTGTCGTTTAAATACAGGTAGATTTAATTGGCGCAAAATTCTGTGAACAAAAAATTTTTTGGTTAATAATAAAATAAATAATAAAGGATAATCGATATTTCTTTTTAAAAAATTATTTTGACATTGAATTATTTTTGTATGAACAAGTTTTTATTACTGTTTGCAAAAAGTTTTTCTGTAGACCCGGAGATGGAACAAAATGCACAAAAAGTTAACATTAATGGACCATAATTTTCTACTTTAGTGAAAATATTATTTTCTAAATTGAGTTTCACACTTTTATTTTAAAGAACAATATTTCAAATCCATCGAAAAAAATTATATTTATTCAAAGGAAGATCGTTTTCTCAATTGATTTTGCAACTTAAAATGTTGCCTACCCAAATTAATTAGCATATTTACGGTTAGGCCCTCGAACCATTAGAATTGAGTCCTTATACGTGGAAATCTGATTGTTTGATAAAAAGTTATTAAGGTGTTTTTTTTCATTGTGCGCAATGCATTTCAAGCAATTGGAGGGACATTTATATTCATGCAAGTGGAAATGTTTTGAAGTAAAACTCATTTATGTTTGAATTAAATGAAAAAAAAAAGCACGAAAAATAAAGTTCATGACTTGTAAATAGCATTTAAAATCTAATACAAAGTAGGATGATTACAATATTTTTTTATTGAAATATTGGCTCCAATATAAAACTTAATAATAATACATCCGCGCAAAATTAAATGGAAAAGATCAGAATCTTACTTTTGATCAAATCTCAAATTTCAGAAATAAAGGAATTTTCATTTTCAGAGAAAAAATATTACTCGATTACTTTTCTTACTTGAGTTTTTTTTTATTTATTTTCATGTTACAAAAAGCAATATAAATTAATTTTAAATTATAAGAATTTCATGAATAAGCATCATATACAGGAATGAAAAATACAAATAAAAATAAAAGTTTTTTAACTGCTTTATGACTAGAGTGAACTATGCCGAATATTATTTTAAATGTTTTACTTTAATGTTGAAAATAGATTCATAAATTCATTTGAAGCAATTAATGCAAATGTTTTATTTATTTTTTGAAAGTATACCATTAGAAATCTATTAATAAAATAAATCTCCAAATAGCCGTTGATTATTGTTATTAAACAAATGACTTTTCGTTTCACCTTTTAAATATACATTTATAAAAAAATAAGAGAGTTTGTTTTATTCTTTAAAATATTTATTCTACTATTTTAGTGTGTTTTAGTTATTTAAACTGTGGATCATGCACATATATGTATATATGTTATTCGATAAGGTTATAAAATCGAAAAAGATGCATGTCTTTGAACTTATTTTAAACTAAATATGCAACAATTATTTTTCTGAACATTTAAAAACTATAAATTGTTTATTTTTGTCTTCCTTTGAGCTAGTAAACGGGTAATTAATTATACAAGCAGAAATTTCTGACGTTATATAAATAATGTAACCACAAAGTCTTGAATACATATTTTTTACAATTATTTTTATTATTAATTTATAGCAGATTTTTTTAAATCTTTTACTTATTTATGTTGTTACTCATAAATACTTATAATATAAAATCTGATCATAAAATTGAAATGTATGCGTTTAAAAATTTTTTTCGTATACGTAATATCAACAATTTACTTTTATAAAATACTCGTGTTTTGTGCCCTTTTTAAACCGATATAAATATATATTTATTTTCTTAAACAAAAATTTCAAATGGTACAGTTCAGTTCTAAGATTTTTGATCAAATACTAAAAATTGTAAATTGTGCCTTTTTTATTATTAACTTATAATACAATTTTTGAAATCTTTTACTCATTTGTATTGTGACTCTTGCATACTTATGTTGCAAAATATGATTATAAAATTGAATGGTATGCATTTGAATACTTTTCTTTTGTATAAAAAATATCAACACATATTATAAAACATTTAATTTTTACGAATCAAAAATTTGATCAAGAAATAAAAAAAAATTGTTTTTTTTTACTAATTTGAGAGGTATGGAACAGAACATTGTTGTAAATGCAATTCGTATTTTAGTTATTTGAAGATTGATTGCAAAAACACTGATAATTGCAATGAAACCAATAAATTTTCTTTTTGACTATTGATTAAATAAACAATTGTTAGGTGTAATGAAACTGTAAAATTTTCCTTTTAACTATTGATTAAAAAAAACAATTGTAAGGTGTAATGAAACTATAAAATTTTCCTTTTGACTATTAATTAAGAAAACAATTGTCAGTTGTAATGAAAACCTAAAACTTTTATTTTGACTATTTATTAAGAAAACCAATTGTTAGATGCAATAAAAACCTAAAATTTTTAATTTAAAAGAAAATATTTTACGGATAAAAACAAAATGGTACTTACCCAAGAATTAAAATGCTTAGCTTTATTTCTTTACACACAATCCAAGTAACTTGGATGTCCTGAAAATATAAAAATCACACAGGTACTCCAAAATGTTGAACTTTTCCAGTGACTTCCGCAACAGATGTATTGCCGAAAAACTAACTACAAGGTCTGACAAGTGACGTGTATCGCAGATGATGTTCAACTAAGGTATTTCCAAAACCTCAGTTCCATTTTGATTTCGGATAAAGTCTTGCTCTGCGCATGCGTAAGGGTCACGGAATACTTAATTGTTATATTCACGTTGTAGGGTTGAAGAGTTGTGGTTTTTAGTTCTATGAATTCAGTTAAATAAGTTCAATTAAACTGAATTCATAGTACTAATGAAATTCATAGAACTAATGAATTCATTCATAGATCAAATGGATTGTTTAATCGAGAAAAAAAATGTCTCTTAATACAAGCTAATGAAATTAGTAAAAAATATTACTGCGTAAAATATATTATGAAACTTTACTTTCTTTCTTTTTTTTCAAAAAACTAAACACATAAAGCGTATTTATTCAACAATGAAATCTTAACTGATCAGGAAATATTTATTGCTCATAAGTTTGATTAGCTATTAAAAATTAGGGCTAATTTCATGGAATTCTTGATATTCATTCCGAAATTTAATCTTACCTTAATTAAAATTATAATTATTTTACTTTTAACCGTGTTTAGTTTTACGAAATTTAGGTTTAGGTTTGTTTCTATTCAGTAGTAATTGTTACTTTTTTCGGTTTTTATTTTTCAGGTAAATGCCAGTAACAGATCATTCATTTTATACTTAAAAGTGTATTATTATATAAAAATGAAATAATTGATAAATTTTTACTCTGCGAAAAAAGCATAGTTATAGCTACTAGAGCATAATGAAATTGTATAGGAACACAAAGCGCGAGAGTTTTTACCGAAACACTTGTGTAATGATTTCTAGCAAAATTAACAATAAAATATGGTTTTATTACAATGCTGTGTGATAATAAATATGGTAAAATTTATTAATTTCATCATGGTATCTTAGCATGGAGTAAAACTAATTTATTCGTATTCATAATGCGTATACAGTTAAATAAATTTAAATTTTTATTTATTTTTTATTTTTGCCTTAGCAGCAACGAAAGTTATGACTGAAAGTCATGAGTATACAAGCTTAAGCGTACAGGTTTATGTATTTCTGAATGAAAAGACTTTTCTTGCGTGAGCAACGAAAAACTGAAATAAACTCGGCAGTAACATAATGAAGGTTTAAAGCTAGCAACTCATATAAACAAACTGTTTATATTTTTGCTTTATGTATGTCATTAGCTACTCAGGTTCGCTAATGTTGAACATTATTTTAGTTTTAATGATGCCTTTGTTACTAGAGCAGGTGCGGTTTATGTACAAAGATTGGCCAACTATGATTTTTTTTTATCGTTTTACTTTTCATCGGCATTTTTCATGTTATTGTTAAAATGAAGGACGTAATAGAGCCGTGCTTCCAAGCACTGAAATTTAAAATTATATGTTTAGAGTACTTTGGTAAACAAGTTGTTTTATATAAATAAATAAGTTTTAAATGCGCATGGATCGAATTAAACACTGAGAAAAATATATGGTAAAAACTACCGGAATGTGGTAAAATTTACCGTGTTTTTGACTCATTAGGAACACCACCAGAAAGCTCAGCAATTTTTACCGAAGCGCTTGGTAATGATTTTTGCAAAACTAACGATAAAATATCATTTAATAATATGTGATAAAGTTCGATTAATGTAGCAGCATTTAGCAATTTTAACATGGTACCTTAGAGTATGGCATAAAAACCCTTTATTCGATAAAATATACTTTTCAGTTTTATATTTTTCCCTAAATGCGTGGTTATAAGAATTATAATTTTGAAAACCAGAATTTCCGGTAAATCATTACCATATGAATGGAAAAATTACCAAATGAATGGTTAAAATACCATTTATTTTGGTTTTTATTACCAGAACTATGACTTTTTTTACGTGAAACAATAACAGACAGCAAGTTAGCTTTAGCAGAATTTATTCTCATTGTGTAATTTATATAAATGGAACGAAATGTTTATAATTCTAAGTTTTAACACCATGTATATGCTGCCTATTTTCAATACTTCATTTTAAAAGATAATGAGCATTTACACACAAAGCTAGATTGAAATATGCGTAAAATATCTAATGCGCGATAAAAGCAAACTCTAATTCTGAAGCAATCCAAAAGGAACTGTTAAAGCAATTCCAGGAATTGGCTATCAAATCAATCAGGTTGTAAACCCCCTAGGATTTTAACATTTTACAAAAAATATTAAATAATTAAAATTGATATAATTAAAGATTAAATAGATAATGATTTAAAAAATTAATAAAATTTCAAGATTCAACTATGAATCGCTAAAGAAATCGAATTGTATGTAACGACAAATATAGAAGGCTTTTGTCAAAGTTTGAAAATGCCTAATTTCAATTATTGCTATTTAAATATACTGACGCCTTCAAAAATTATATTTTTTTATTGACATCGTAATTTTTTACTGCTATCAAGTTAACTAAGCTTAATAAGCTGAAATAAAGACTTTATTGAAGTCTTCGATTACATATTCATGGTTATTTGAGTAAATACAGAAAATTTTTGAATCATAACTATCTTTGCTTAATTTCACAGAAAAACAAAAATATTTTGATTCATATTTTAAAAACTTTTTTTAACGTCTGCAATTTTTTGTGAATATGCTTCATTAAGTGGTTATGGTGCCACTTTCAGGGTACTTTTTTGTACAGAGTAGATATTAATTTGTATAAACAACCAATGAAAGGAGATATTTCAACTCCGCCAATCGATGTGTTTTTATATGAAGAATTGCTGTAACGTGTCACCTGAAACGGTTGTTAATTCTTTCTTGCTTTTTTTATAGGAACATTTTGATAACACTTTTTTTTATATAATGCTTCTATACCAGTTTTTGAAATTTGTAATAAAAAGCATCAACAAAATATCAAACCTAAACTAAATCATTAATTATTAGGTCATGTGTGCAATTTCATAAGCAACAACAGCAGTAATCTAGCTCTATATTTAAAAGTCTATTCCAAGCATAGGTCATCATCGGGATATGGCATGCTTTAGAACTAAATTGAGATTTCTCTGCGCAAAATATTCTATAATATACTATACCAAGTAAGAGGGCATAATTTTTTTATATCCTAGTTCTTTTATATTCAAAGGCTGGGATAACCAGGTTGGTTGGAAGGTGAGCTCGCGTTCACGAGAGCATGAGTTCGAATCTCGCCGGCCGAAGAAACCCCTTGTATTAGTGACTGGTGCATGCTAAGTCTGTCGGGGTCACAAAGTCCTCCAAGTTCCCATAACAAATCAATACCTCTGGGGGTATTGAATTGGAGATTGATCGTTCTCTGGTTCAGGTCAAAATCTGTGAATGAATAAATATAGTTTGAATGGGTTCTTCCTATAAAACGGGTTGTGGAATAAGTGTGGCTTTAGTCGTATTCTTGGCCATAGAGGGCGCCACTGAAAAACAATAAATACTTCCTCTGCCTTAAAAATTCCCTTTGATTTCCATAGCAAGCTTGCTGATATTGGCAGTGGCATTAGTAACAACAACAGCAAACACATTTAGCTAATTACATTACCAATTCGCCTGTAAAATGTTTGTGTTAATTAATTTGTCTGGTAATAGTGTTGTTTTCCCGTTTTATAGGTTAAATCCAAGAAATATTTCAATCACTTGTACAATATTTTTAAAGAAAAAAAATTTTATTATAAGAAGTACACAGAGTTGCCAACTGCCCCGGTCTCGAGAAAATATTATAAAAAACGGGAGAGAACTAGGAACTAAAATTTGCAGATTTTCGACTAATTTTGGCTAATTTCTAAAAGACTTCACAGTGCTTAACTGTACCAAAATCACGTTTTATATAAGCCTTAGAATTATTTAGAAATAGTGGTAAATAAAAAACCTGTAAATCGAATTTACTAAATCAAAGAATCGTGCATTAAAACGCTACCATATGAAAACATTTATATGCTGTCTGGAGCAAGTTGGCATCTCTGAGTACAAGAACTAATTGTGGACAGGAGATATAATTTATTTAATGACTGAAGATTTAAAAAAGAGTTTCAAGTGTCAATTCCTGACAACTTATCTTTCAGACAGTTTACTTTGTTCTCCTCTACTATAGTTAGATCAAAAGATTTATGAAATAGCTTCCTCATTTATAGTTTTAAACATTTTGCTCTTAAGTAAAATGTATGAAGGTCTTAACTTAGACTGACGGTTTTTCAAAAAGTTTAAAAACTATTCTTGAGAAAATTTCATGTAAAAAAGCATAAATTTTTCCTCCATGAGTTATTAAATTTAGTTCAATAGTTTTTCGAAAGATGACGTTACAGGTAGTAAACCTATAAATCGAATAAAAATAATTAAAAATCTCAACACAAAATATTAAATTAATTGCGACTGCGGTTAATAGAAAATATTTTAATATTTGCTCCATTGAAATAGTGTATTAATTTACTTTCGGAAAATTGTGATTTTATTTTTAAAAAAAATTTCTTTGATTTACTCCCTTACTACGTGTAGTGCCATCTTTCGAAAAAAAAATTGTACAAGAACCGAAAATTCCAGGAGAAAAATTGTATTCCCTATAACAAGAATTTTCGTCGAGTATTATTTATGTAACCTTAAACGTTTACCTGACATAAATTTTCGAAAATCGTCCTTCTAATTTAGGACACTGATATAGCTTTTCATAAACAGAATGCAAGTCGTGTAATATTTTGAACATTATCTTAACTTATTTCTCAAAACTTTTTCATGATTCTAAATATTTAAAGAAGATAATCTTAAATTGAATCAGAGTTATCCTTTTTTCCTTAGACGAATTTATCAGACAATAATAATTTATTTTTTTAATATGCGTCTAAGTAAAAATAAAATATATCGTGATGACAGCTGAATCAGAAATGCCTTATCCTTGTAAGTGCTAATTCTCAAAATCAACAGTCAACTAAAATGAGATAAAAATAAAGATAAAAGCAATTTATAAAAGAGCAACATTAAGTCTTCATCAAATTCATAGACGTAAAGAAAAATGTTTGAATTTTATCAGTAAGACTTAAAACATTTCTTTCTTGACACTTAGTTAAAATATTTATTTG